GGGGGCGTGCACGGGTGAGCGCCCCACCCTCTGCACATGGGGGGCCCAAGGTTGAGAAACACTGGTGTAGAGCAAAGCAAGGTCCAACCTCAAAAACAGGGCCACACATCCAGTTTATCCACAAGGGAGTGCCTCCCGCAGCCTCCAAAATCTCTTGGATAACTATAGATATTCCACGGTCCCTGCCCTAGGGTCATGGCTGGTGCCATGCTCAAAACCCAGGTTGGCACATTTCCAAGAGGGGAACCAAGTCTAAGCGATACATGCCAGTCTGACCCTCTCATCCACTATTAGGTCCTGCGTAAGGCAGCCTTAGTACATGCCAACCTGGCATTCAGTAGTAGCAGTTAAAAGCTGGGCTGTGGTGCCTGGCACTGGGGCTCCGGAGCTTGAATGCAGAATTGGTACGAAGCATAAGAGTGCCTCTCCTCTGCCTCCCTCTCCCCATCACCACCCTAGTGTTATTGTCTGCCCCTTTTGCCCTGATACACCAGCCCCCTAACCCCTGCTGTTTCTCCCCCAGGTCAAAGGGTCCCGTCTCAGCCCCCAATAGTACAAACATCCACCCAGCTAGCTAAACCGGTTTTCCAAGGATGATTCAGCCCAGCATTCAGGGTCTCTAGACCCTTTGATTTTATCTCCTGCTTAGCATATCTCCAGCATAGCTGGCCCCAAAGTTTCTCAGGATTAGGGTTGGCACCCTGCTGGTTTTTTCCTCTCTCCCCTTCACTTCCATGCCCACTGCTGCTTGCCTGGGATGGTTGTGCTTGTGACACCCAGCAGAGCCTGGGTGGTGCTCTCCTGGTGCAAGGGCAATGGGATTGGAGAACAGTCTGTACCAACTCTTGACTTGGTCCTTGTGGTTGCGTGCAGCCAGAACCATCAGCCAGGAGATGTGACTGGGTTAGCAGTTGTCCGGGTTAAGCAGCTGATGGTCAACAGGGATATTTAGGTGGTGCTGTTTCGTGCCTGTAAAACCTCTTCTCTTCTTGGGCCAGATCCCACAGATCTTTGCCCCACATTCTCCCTTCTAAAGGGAATACCACAAGGTGATCCCAGATTTGGGAGTCTGCAAAGCTCTCCCTCATGTGTGTGACTGTCTGCAGGACTCATGATTTTCAGAGGGGGTTCAAGGTCTGTTCAGGTCTCTTGCATGGGATTCCCTGGAATCTGGCTCAGCACTTGGGTGGCAGATGCTGAGGACTGGACCTTGCAAAAGAGGGGTGCACCATGGAGCCACAACCCTTCCCCCAGATGGTCCCTCTGAATTCCTTATGGGGAAGAGGCTTGTGAAGTCATGAACCTTTGCCCGGACCCTCCTGTAGAGAGTAAGGAAGATGGCCTTGACGGAGAAATGCAGGAACTGTTACCTAAGCAAAAGGGGCCGAAACATTCGGAAACGAGATAACATTTGGAAGCAGATGAGGCAGACATCTCCCTAATTCACTAAAATATAAGGAGGAGGAGGAAGTCCAGCACAACCAGACTTGCAAGATGCTGTTATTCAAGCCAATTTCAATAAAAGTAGTACAGTATAGTCCTGGAGTTGATTTTTTGATCTGGCCTACCTAGTAAGGCTGACAGCTCCTTGGGATAAGGAGCGCATTCTGGAATATGTGGGCAGGACTTACTGGTTGTGTTCACACAACACGCTTAAACTAGTTACTGAATTAACCCATTTTCTTGTTTCACAATACATTAAGTCATAAAAGAACCACACCTGCTGACTTTGCTGAACTAGTTAAGTCTCAAAAAACTAACCAAGGTTTACTCTCATCATCAGGTGACTTTAGATGATATGCAGCGTGGCTAACATCCACTGGGACTTAATGAAGAGAGAAAGACAGTCTTGGCCACATTCACACAACACACTGAATGAGAAAATTTCCTATGTGTTACACAAACCCAGTCAGGGCCCTGAATTAGTTTGGTGTTACTGAGTTGGGTCTGATTCCCGATGATGGTCTGCTTGGACAGAGGTTCACCATCATCATCTAGGATAATTTTCCTTGCTTTCAGTGGACCCCGTGATTGCAACAGTGGTTTTAATGGAGCAAGCCATAGTTTAGTCGTCTTAACCGGGACCACCAATTTTTAGAAATCGGTGGATCCAAGTTTTAAGAAATGTTTAATACCCTTCTGATGACTCAGGGAGAAGTTAATTCATCAGAAAATCATGTTTTGTGTTTATTGAACTCCCCTAACAAGGTTAAAAAAAAGGCTGGACATCGAATATGTCGTGTTGGTGTCATAAGAAATATCAGGGCTTTTTGACTCATATGATTTGGTCCTGTTCCTTTAAAGCCCAGTTTGAGTCTCAAGTCATTATATATCTCACCACCACTGTGGGCACAAACGTAGTTGCTAAAGATATAAGTGTGATATTGAACTGCACTCCAAAAATCTGGAATTTGATATTTTATGAAGAAATCTGCCTTTGCAGGCCTGGAGAGGCCTGTGCAGGTGGCAAGAAAACACTCCAGATATCAGTGGATTCAAGCAGTGTCAATTTTTATGTTCTACCAGTGAAAAGATGGAGCGGTGTGTTTATATCTGTTCTAGATTTAATAACTCATTAAAGGAGTGAGCCAGTTGTACATTAATTAGCATGACCTGCACCATCTTTTTTTCAAATTTTACTCCATTGTTACCACTATTATATTTTTTTTCTTTCTTTTTCATGCTATCGTCACTCTTGTGCGGTTTTTATTTTTTAAATTCACTCAGAACATAAATTAAAAAAAAGAAAGACACATCTAGGCATCCGCTTGGAGAAGGGCCTCCCAGCGCGTTCCGTTTCTTTCGCCCGGAAGGGAACAAAGCCTCGAAGCGGACCCGTCTTCTCCGTGAAGATGCCCCTCTTCTTTATTCCTAGCTCTATGTCTCTTCTATACCTCTTCTCTTATTCCAAGCTCTATGCCTCTTTTATACCCCATCAGGCCCCGCGGCGGGAGCCGCTCGCGTGTCCAAAGGAGGAGCTTCCGCGTGACGTTGCATGAGGGCGGGACCGCGGAGGCTAGGAGCCCGAGGCAGTGACTTGCGACGCTGGGAGGCCCCCGCCGCCGCCGCCGCCG